TACTTGGCGTTCGCCAGACAAACTTTGCATAAAAACCTTCACGCTTATAATTCTGGCCGGAAGTAGAAAATAAGAAGTGATAGTAAAGATTTAAAATAAAATAAACGTTAGTAAAACTTAAGATCCTTACAACTCAACGCATATTCAAGAGGTCCAGGGTTCGAGTCCCAGCGAGGTCAATGAACATTTTTTATGTATCCTACTTCAAAATAATATAATGACTCTACAAATATTTTGAAGTAATTTTAGCATTCGTATATCTGATAATCCGATTTATTGTGAAAATAAATATTTTTTTATTTACTTTAACATATTTATTCAATATGATATATCAAATATTACATGCTAACATTTAAATATAATTTTTTTTTTATGTATTTCTCAATACATGGAACATTGTTACCATATGTTAGATTTTCCAATGCTTTTTAAATTTATTCAATGAACAATTTTTCGAATATAAAAGATTTCGTTTCTAGTATAGTACGTCTCGTTGAGATGGTACAACGTGCTGTTGAGCAGTAAAAGCATTCTGCTGGCAAAAACCATCATTATCCGTGCGGATTTTGAACTGGAAAAAAGAATATGATTCTCGATAATCACCTTTTGAGGAGCGGCTTCCTTTCTATCTGTAGCCCTCTAAGTGAAATGCATGTCAGAGAACTTCGCATTTATATAGCGATGCATACTACTGGAAATCTGCACGGGTAGTGAGGATTTACGCTGAATGAATGCTTTCATCTATTGTTTAACAACACCCTATACGACCTCAATGAGACATTTAAATCCTTCTTTGCGTTGTAAAATTTTCTTGTTTTGGTTTCCTCTACTGCTTTTAAATTGTTGTTTACAATGTTTTTTAATCACCTTGCATATTTTATTAATGAAGAAATCAAACTGGATATACAGAATCCAAATAAATTCAGAACATTACCTTCCTATTACCGGTAACACCTGCTTTTATGAAGTTAGAAGTATTTTTAATTCTCAGAGTTTTACCCCAAACAATTGAAAATAATTGAAATGATAAAAATTAAATTAAAATACCTTATATATCGTATTTTCTAATTTATTTAACATTTCAGTTAGTAATTTTAAAATTATATTTGTTTTTTTTTCAAATACTGGAATAAAAGTAAGTATCAACGTAATTGCTTACTACAAAAGTCAAACAAAAACCAATTACAATATTTTATATCAAAATTTAAGTTCCGCTCAACATATTTAACCTCATAAACAAATTCTATTTATGCTTAGCATGTTTATGTTTTTCAGTCAAGTTATTATCAGAAAAAAGTAACTATTTCCGTTTTTTCTACGGAGTAACAATTGTATTTACTCTGTTGATTGCAGAAAATGAATTAGCATGTGCTCTCATAAAAAGATGGAAAAGGAACAGAAAAATACTTCATTAATTTTTTCTTTCCTAATTTGATTACTAATTCTTCAGGCTCTGCAAAATTGTTTTAATTACATTTTTTGGTAATGAAATTTGTTTCTTGTTGATAGGAAGTTTAGCTACAGGCTATTTCTTTGATTAAGTTGTAGAGTGAGCATGTTTATTTGTCAGGATGGAATCATCACATACGACATTTTTGATTAGATAAACTTTTATAATCATTTTTGTCACAGCAGTACAGCACTCCTTCTAATTCCTGAATAATGCTTCGTTTTTATGCACATGGTCAGCCTTTAGAAAGAAGAAGATTTACCTTCACGTTAGAATACATTTTACGGGTAATGAAGCCATTCTGCTGAAATATTAGAGTAGCTTTCGCATCATGGCGCTTTTAAGTCACATTCTACCATTTATAATATTTTGTACATGAAATAATTTGCAGACTGTACTCACAAATAACTAAGTTTTAAGATTAAACCTGAGAAATATGACTAAACAATGCTGTTTGTACATTGTATTAAATCTATTTATTAAGAGCACGTCCTTACTAACGATAACGACAGCATGGTGTGGCGATGACAGTTTCGCTATTATGCCCAACGGGCCAACCTACACTCAATTGGGAAGCCAAATTTCGCCAGTCCTTCAGATGCGCATGCGCATTTAGATATGCAAAACACTCAAACAGCGAGCCCCTTTTACTTCCTTCTAACATATAACGGAAGCATTGTAATCAGAAAAAGAATTGGTAACCATATTTCAAAAGAAATACCCATTTTGACCGCTCCCGAATCCATTTGAACAAATTTTTTGCGTGACATCTACACGTATGGTGGTAATAAAGAACTGTTTTAATTCCTTTTACGAGGTGAAGGAAGTATTCTAATCTTGAAAAATTTCGGATATCATATTCAAACGGAAATCTCCATTTCGATTCTCGAATCTATTTGAACGATGTTTTTGCGTGACATCTGTACGTACGGACAGAATAAAGGACCATGTTTGCCAAAACAAATTGTAAAATGAATTCAATAACAATTCATTTAAAAATAACCTAATGTCTTTACAAGTGGCGCCGGAACTAAAAGATGCTGGATGATAATTCGTCACCGCCAAGATTTGGCGAGTGGGTCCCCTAATTCCTAACAGCCTTTACAGAAGTGCCTTTTTTTTTCCTTGATGTCTGTTATGTACGTACATATGTACGTATGTATGTATTTCGCAAAAACTGAACAACAAGTAGCCGTAAAACGTTGAAATTTAGTAAATGGGACTGCTATAACATGCAGGTGGAAACATTTTTTTTTTTTTTTTTTTTTCCTGCAATCGGCGGCACCAAACGTGTATCTATCTTTATATATATATATTCCCCTTTTGTTACCGGGTTCGATGAACTTCGATTTTTTATTGTTGTATGTTTGCAAATTGTGCAATTTTTGCTTAAAAGTGATTGAATTATGTTGTTCTTATGTTCTGCTTGCAGGTTTTATGCTTTCAATTAATATGCATGCAATAGTTGAAGAATTATCATCGATTTAAAGGTTTAGGTAGCGAGTTAAGTCTAACAAGGTCATCATTCGTTTACATTTGAAACTCTTAGTAGAAAAGTGAACTAAGTCAGCTGGTGCCTAACGTCAGTGCCTTTTCCCCAGTTGGGTCGAAAGTTAACTTTCAGTTTTATGCATCGAAAATTTGTTTTCCTGCCTATTTACCAAATTGTTTGTTTTCGAGCAAAATCTAATTTTAATTGCAAAAATTATTTTTTAAATAGTATTTTGCGTTTTAAGTTTTTCTGCATTTTAGAAAATTTAATGAAGACGTTTTGAGTTTTAATGTGTTTTTGTCTTCTCGCGAAGTGAGAACTCAATTGAAGGAATGAGAAATATACCTCTAATGGAATCCAATGATAGACGTTTAGATGAAATGCAGCAAAAAATAAGTATAATTTAATAGATTGTACAAAGAAGTCATTTGGTGCTCACATCAGATGCTTTCTAAAAGGGCAATGGCTCACGTCAATTATTTGCAAAATGACACAGAAACGAAAATAGCTGAATTTTTTTAAATAATAGTTACACAAAGTTCTTTGAATTTTTATAGCATGATTTCAAAATATTTAACACTTGTAGGAAAATTATTGAAAATTGCATTGATGTTTAGCAGTTTATTGCCAGCTACGTTGCAATAAAACAATGTATATCTATCCTTACTTTGTTTCAAGTATTTTGAAATTAAAGTCATGGCAATGAAGTGCAAAATACATCATCCTGTGCTAATCGAGGATGCATGTTAAATTAAACTAATGCATTGAAAATAAATGTAACGAACATTTATACATATTTAAATAAGTAAGAAACATGTAAGATAACTCTAAAAGACAGTTTAATATTTCCCGTTCGACCGAGCTGAATGACGAAATTCAATTTGCGTTTTTCGTGTCTAGAAAGCGCGACTTAAGATATATATTAGATTTACATACACCATAGCTCTAAAATTGGTGTTTTGACACAAAATCGGACTTTTTTAAAATTACAGACCGTTTTGTTTTTCATATTTCGATTCTACGTCTCAAATTAGCTCGTATTAAAATTTCTAAAATTTCGTGGGAAACTTAACGATTAATTTTAAAATTTATCTTGGCGAACTTTTTTCAGTTTGCGCTAAAAGCAATACACTTCTTGAAATTCTTAATTTAAGACAACTATTTTCCTTTCCTTTTCACTGCGCACTGCGTTCGGGCGCCACTGTAGAGACATTAGGATATTTTTTTTAAGCAGGAGTGATGAAAAATGAGCAAAGTCTTCGCTGGGAATCGAACCACGGACCTCTGGAATACGCGCCCAGAGTGCAGACCACTACTCTACGAAGGCATGCAAGAAGGCGGGAGAAATACCTTATATACTCCCCCTTTTAAAGCACGACTGGGGTTTTTAGAGAACCTATTCGCCAAATTCTCGGTGTGGAGAATCATCATCCATCCCCTTTTAGTTCGGGTGCCACTGTAGAGACACTAGGTTAATTGGAAGCAGGAGTGATGAAAAATGAGCAACGCCTTCGCCAGGAATCGAACTTCTGGACTTCTAGTGCAGGCCACTACACTACGAAGGCATGCTAAGAAGGCGGAAGAAATCCCTTATAAACCTACTCATGAAAGCTTTACAGAACTTGGCACTCTGGCGGAATTTGAGTCATAGAATCGAAATGTGGAAAAAAATCGGTATGTGATGTCAGGAAAAGTATGACGGTGTGAAAATACTTATGTTTAAACCATGCTATATATAAATCTAGTATTCATCCTAAGTCGCGCTTTCGAGACGTAAAATCTTCTTCAAGCGCCCTTTAGAACGGAAAATATAGAACTCTCCTCCTATTTTTTTTCTTGCGCAGAGTGTACAATAAATAATCTGCTTAAGTTAAACTGAAGATTATGGCAAGGAATTTTATATTTTTTAATAATTTCAGTTCTGTAAACGGAGCTACATTTAGAGGATATATGCTATCAAATGTGCTTTTAGAGAGTTCTAAATTCACATGACATCATCATTTGAAATTCAGCATGTAGTAAATACGGTATTCAATAAGTAATTAAAATTAATCTTACCTCGTTTCTGAATTAGCATTCAATAAAACTTTATCTTTTGACCATTCGATTGTGATAGGCTTTTCTCCAAATGCTTCACACTGGATGTTTAAAGAATTCCCTTTCGTTACTCTGTGTACTCTAAATGGAGTCTTGAAATGTGCAGCCACTAAAAAAAAGTACAGTTTTTGAAATGCATTGCAACTAATTAAATGTACACATGCAAAAAAAAAAAAAAAAAAAAAAAAAAAAAAAATGGGGGAGGGTACAGTTTCGGCCACCTGTTCTGGGTGGATTGACGAAATTAACTTACGTTTTTCATGTCTCGTAACGCAGGTTCGGATATATATTAAATTTATATATGGCATTGTTCTAACATAGTTATTTTCCACCAAATCGGCCTTTTTCTGAAATGCCATACGAATTTTCCCCCATATTCCTATTTTAAGGCTTAAATTATGCCAAACTGTCAAGTTTTTTTTTTTTTTTTTTTTAAATTGCAGGACTCGTTTAAAAAAAAAAAAAATAGCTTTTTATATTTTGACTCCGCAGTGGTAATTGAAATCAGTATCTATTTATTAATATATTTTTTTTGTTTATTAAACTTACTTTATTCCTTCTTTCACAGTTCGGAACTTAGGTTCAGTTTGCAGATATTTTCTAATTTATTTTTTAAACTTGTACCTTTCAGTAACTTTAATATATTTTTTGAAGAAATACTTGAATTATAACCTATATCATTTTTGCCATCATCTAGAAGTAGTAGTACAAGAAGATGTATTTCGAAGCATACCCGCAGAAAATTAGAGTTTTTATTCAAAATTTCAGAAGAGATGTGTGATTTAAATATTGGCGCTTTTTGAAATTTGGCGTCTTTGTTTCAAGTAATAATGTTGTTTACGGATCTAAAAATGGCAACTATAATTCAAAAGTATAATATAGAGAAAAATATTTGAAAGAATAATCAATGCACCTTTTTTCTGCTCGTGCACAATGAAAAGGAAAGGAAAATAGGTTATCATAAATTGAGAACTTTGCCAAGTTAATTATCCTTTGCGCAAACTGGAAAAAGCGCATCAAAATAAAATTTTGAATTTCTCACCAAATTTTACAAAATTTAATATTTTGGGTATAATTTGAGCTATAGAAGAAATTTTCACACGCACTTTCAGAAAAAGTCCGATTTTGTGTCAAAATACCTATGTTAGAGCAATTTAAGAGTTTAAAATCATTAAGAGATCCAACTATCAGTAATAAGACCCGAATTTTACCAAGTAAATCAATATATGAAAGCAAAAACGTAAGAAAAAAAGGGACATTGAGGTGAAAGAAGAAAAAAAAAATGATAAAAAAACTATGAAACAAGAAAGTAAACGAGGGAAGTAATGGTGCAAAAAAAAAAAAAAAAAAAAAAAAAAAAAAAAATTATGCAAAAAAATTTTAATCTCCCCTGTCTGGAGCTTTATAACAGAACTTGTCAAGGGAAAAGTGTTTTGAAGTTCCATACTTGGTCGATTAAAAAGAGATCCAAGACAAATTTCGTTCCGAAATTTAATGAAACTTGAAACGCAAATTTAATTTATTGACACTAGTAGTTCAACACAGATTCTAATCCCAATGAATGGTTGGCAGCACGGAATGGAAATTTTCCTGTTTTTTCTTCAAGTGTAACATCAACACGGGGTAATTTCGCTTAAAAAAGTCTTCCATGAGGACATCATTTGCTCTCAGATAAATATCTCAAGCGTGTTTTGCCATACTGTAATAAATTCCGTGGAATAATTTCAACTCCTATGATGTATTTAACTTTAGATAAGAAAACAAGAAGCACACACGGTATAGTGGTTTGGAGAGCATAGCGCGGTATCGATGCACTTTAGAAATACATTTCGAGGCGAAAGACCTCTTCTGTGGTTTGGTAGTAGGGAGAAGGGGTGAGAGACCCTAGAATCACACTCCGGGTTGCTCTTCCTCAAAACTGGAGTGGAAGTAAAAATCCAACCTCTTTGAGGCTCTGGCAACCATTCTTGAATAAATTACATGGACATTACAATAGCAGACTGAAAAAAAAATTATGTTTAAAAATGGATCCGATTTTCTCTTTGTAACGTGGAAAATCAGACTAGGAAAAAACCATTTGAGGATAATTAATTCAGAAGTATAATGAGGTAAACACGAAACAAGAATAATCGAAAATGGAACGCGTTCAGAGTGATTGACTCGGAAATATTGGAAATTAGATGTATGAGATTTTTTTTGTCCATATTTAAACACAAAACCCATTCCACATTTCATCGAAAATACAATGGTATTTTCTTTCTTTGAATTTAAATGTGACTAATTTAAATATGTAAAACTTTCCCTTCTCTTTTAATTTTTTTTTTAATACCAGGCACTTGCTTGACCACTACTAAGACCAGAAGTGGTGGCTATTTTATTGTGGAGGCACCTAATAGGCGGCCAACGTTACCTCCTATGAATGGACAGACAATTTTACATCCCTGCCCTCTCCGGGAATCGAACCCAGGCCCTTTGGTATCGCAGCCAGGCCATTATACCGGCTGGGTGACCTTCTCTTTTTATTATGAAGCCTTGGAAGGAACATTATATTTGTGCTATTAAATCTTTTTTTGTAATGGATTATCAGACTCAACTGCAGTAAAGCTCCATTTGTATAACTTGAAAAAAAATTATTTGGTTTAAATTTACGTAGGATTTCGTCACCATTATAATATATTTGCGTAAGTAAAAGCACCTTTGCTGTTGATACTTAGCAATGGCTTTTAAACTGATTTCAGTTTATATACAATTTAATCAAGTTTAGGTGGCAGCGGTTTTACAAAAATCATAGACTGACTTTTTGTGAAAAATGTTATCACGAGAATGTCTTTCTATAGAATATTATTTTTATGCAAGGCTCTGATAAAGACATTATAAACTAAGAAATTAGGAAGCTAAGTAATTAAAGTTCATTAAAGCAACTAGAAAAGTGAAACATTATTCTAAGATAGAAAATAAAATAATTCAAGATTTTGTTCAACCCAAGAAGAGAAAAGAGCTTTCGAATTTTTTCTGTGAATCTGTCTTTTATTTCAAATGCGTCTCTAATTTAACAAAGATCACTAAAGTAAATTACATTTTAAAACATAACCTCACTTCTTTCCTTTTAGAAATTACTTTTCTCTCAGATTAAACATAACAATATATTTAGAAACTGCTTTTTATTTAAACATAATTCGCTTTAAATCATATTTTTTATTTTGAATGTTTATTCGCAAGAAGCATTGCAGCTCTTCGTAAATAGATTATTTTGAATTTCTATTTTCAGAGCTTAGTTTTCCAACGAAATAAACTCAAAAGCATAGAAAGATAACATATAGAAAAATAATACAATATTTATCAATTTGCAGTATGTCGCGTAAAATGTATCTTTGTTCTGGACTGTCTTCTGCACCTAAAATATAAACGAAATAATCTAATTCCACATTCTGAGTATCAAATAAATTGTTATAAGCTTGCAGACAGAATATTCAGCGAAATGTCAAGTAAAAGCGAAGTCATTTTTATGTATCCCTCTGCTTATGAATCCAATTTAAATTGAGTCGCAAGTGAAGAATAATGTGGTGAGCCGGAGTTGCAAGATAGGATAAAACGCATCAATAAATAAGAAAGAAATTTACTTTTTTTTTCTGGCAAAATACTCCCATACTTTTCTGACAAGTTTAGGCAAACGCCTGTCAGAAAGAACGTTTAAGAAAACGTCGATAACCGGGTTTAAAAGATGCCAAGTTTTCAAAAAGCGATGAAGCACAACTTTCCACGGATGAATTTTTCATGCCTGCGCCATTTTTTTTATCACGTTCTATTTATAGGAAAGATAGGAATGAAAATAAGAAGACAGATGAAGGACTGGATGCAAACTCCCGGAAGAACTGTCACTCCAGCAGTGCCTTACAATAGTGAATAAGTTCACAAAAATATGCGATTTTACTTACCGCTTTCATTCACTAGAGATTCCTCACATCTCATATGTCGCGAAAAATTCATGTCAACATGTGCCAAGGCAATCTGCGCGTTTAGTTTTTCTGCAGAAAACTGTGAAGAAGAGAAACTTAAATTGGATATTAACGAATAAAATATGAGGTGCGAAGACATGATTGAAGTTTTTCTAAATGACTTCTAACCGAAGATTGAAAAGATGACACAATCTTATTTGCGTGAAAAATTAAGCAATGTCAGGTTTTTTTAAGAAGTTAATTATAACTAAAAAATCGCCGAGTTAAGAAAATAAAATTCAGATTTATTTTGCATACTTTAATGTATCGCAAGTTTATACTTTCATTTTCTTCTCATATTTAATAATTTGCAACAAATTCCTTTAATTTAATTTATAAATTTTTTTGTGAATATGCTGGTGCTATTGCTGCAATATTAGACAACTTTATATTTGCTAAATGATTTTAAACTCGATAATTAATTAAAATTTCGCATAAAGTTTAGTCACGTATTTCACTATATTTTTGCTGTCTTATTAACTTGCTATAGTCGATTATATTCTTTTTTAATTTGCCCGCCAGCGGCAGAGCGATAAAATCTCTGAACACAAAATCTTCGGTCTGGAGCTCAAACCCCGGCGAATGGGCTGTCTGCATGGGTGCTTTCATGATTTACCCTATGTGTAACGAGTAAACAAAGCAGTTTTCTTTGGAAAATCCTCCACAAAGGCATCCCTTCCCTTCGGCAAATAAGCGTTGGACAGAAGTGCTTAGACAATCGTGAGTGCTTTGCCATTCTTCAATATAAACCCCAAAAAAACTTTAATTCATTCCGTTCTAGTATAATGTAACATCAACAATCGCGTTCTTCTATGTTTAGTATAAAATGAAAGGAAATGTATTAATAAGATAATTTGCCTTAGGAATACCAGTGAAAATACTATGAGATGCACAAAAAATTCTTCATCAATTAGTTCCTTAAAAGAATGTTTAATGTAATTCGATGTAGTTAGATATACTAATGCAAATATATTGTTTGTATGAAGTACAAGTACAATGTCCGATGTACAATGAAAGTTTGTATGATGTATGTTCGAAGTAATAATGTTATATTAATCTGCCATAATCCAACTTTTGTTAATAGGTTAATTTCTTTGTAATAATTGTATCCTGT